GACCAGACTGCCCTAGCCCATTCAACTTAGCTCCCAAGTAACTTAAAAACTACCTGCCTCCCTCCTCCGTCTATTCATAAAGGCGCATTACAACAACACCATCTGCAAACAGCAAGATGATAATATAGAAGAATATTTTGATGAGATTAGAATCTAAAGACAGAATTCAGTGCTAATAACTTTGATAGAAACACACCGCAAATAAGTACAATTTTGTGGACAAAAATGAGGATCTTGCTACAAAAACTTTGAAGAAAAAGGATTATTTAGCAAAAGATACAAGTAGGTAATATGATGATTGGCATTAAATTTTGTGTAATTTATTGAAAGGAGCTCAAAGGTGATGCATTGCTTCTTCACTTTAGTTTCAAAATTGTTACTTTTTCAACTCGTTCCTCAAAAACGATGCACAATACACTAATTTAATTGTGTTCTTTCCGAGATTCTTTCTCATTCTCATTCATATTTTGTATTCTTGACAATTTCTTGCTAGAAATTAAAAACTGCCAACTTCTTTTATTAAAATTACCAGGAATGAATTTACTAGTGGTGCCAACGTTAAGACTGTTTTGCATTTCCATTTAAAAAAAAACAGACTTTACTTGTAAACCTAAACTAATGAAATTGAACATTGTTACTATTTAAGTTAATTTTAGTCACACCCCCATTTTGCACTACCCCTCTATACAAGATTTTTATTGGTTAATACACATAGAAAGTTTGATAAAGAGAATGCTTTCTTATACTTATCATAAGCCAACATAACGGGTGGGTCAGCACAAATTACCTGGGAATTAAATTTTTTCGGCGGAATTTACATACCCTAGATTTAAGGATTTCTGACCATCGGCGGAATTTGTCCATGGCCCTTTCTTTTTACTTCAAGCCAAAGTAATCCGAAGTAACCCGAAGTGACCTAAAGTGACCTGAACCGACCTGAAGCTACTCAAAGTGACTCAAACATTATTTTTACAATCTAAAAGACACTTTACTAAATAAAAATTAAACTCTTAATCAAATCATACAGAATTTGACCACATTTACTAGTTTTGACTTAAAAAAATAACGACACTGACAGAAAAGTTTAATTGTCAAATGTCAGTCATGATGACAGTAAAAGGTAGTTTACAGTGAACTTTTTGAAATGACTGCCCGAAATTTTAATTCCGTAACTGTCCCTTATTGCCAAATAAACCAACAAATGTTTTCAAGGTTTTTATCAAATTTGTGTAATATTTCTTTTGAAGTGTAATAATAATGGTGATATGTGCCGCATTTCGTTGCAAAAACCAGGGATAACATACCGTAGGTAAGAAAACAATCGTATGGGAAATACATAGGAATACTTTTTGAGGATCAAGATAATTTTATACAACAAAAAACTAGTTCAAAAATTATAAGGCCGCTAACGCAAAGAGGCAAGTTCGAATTTTATAAACGTCCCTTACTTTAGTTTTAGTGAGGTTTCGTGTATTCAAGTGAGAGATGCAATTAATGACTTAAAAAATAGTATGAGTAAAGACTGGTATGGCCTTAGTAGTGACATTATAAAAACAGTAAAGGACGTTATTTTATCTCCCCTTACTAAATTGATTAATTATTGTATAAGAACATCCACTTTTCCTAAATGTCTTAAAAAATCTTTAATAACACCGGTGCATAAAAAATCTGATAAAAATGACATTAACAACTTTCGGCCCATTTCGTTAACACCTATATTTTCAAAAGTAATAGAAAAATTTTTAGTTCAGCAATTGACGCGGCATTTTGAAGATAACAGTTTGTTGTGTCCACAACAGTTTGGTTTTAGAGCAAAAAGAAACACAATCAATGCTATTGCAGATTTTACAAATGAGATCCATGATTGCTTTGAAAATGCAAAGTTAGCTAAAGCCACATTCCTAGATTTAAGCAAGGCTTTTGATTGTGTTTCTCCTGGCATATTAGTTCATAAGATGTTCTATTACAATATTCTCCCAAACACCTGCAAATTGCTATGTTCATATTTAAGTGAGCGACAACAAAGTGTCCAATTCAAAAATACTCTGTCTGAAAGTCTTCCTGTTGAGTGTGGTGTCCCTCAAGGATCGGTTCTGGGTCCGTTACTATTCTTGATATATAATATATTCACTGAACTCCCGACATGTCAAAATGACGTTAAGTTAGTTAAACAAAAAGTCACTATGGCTATGTTGGTGACAACTTCACTCAAAGTTTAACAACCTGGTCGCTATCACTTGATTTGAAATGATTTAATTATTATCATTGGCGCATGTGCCGTGTACCATGGAAACTTGACATCAAGTACAGTCAGATGAAATAATAGTCATCTGTGTCGTTTGAGATACACTCAAAAATTTTGGTTTGACATTGTAAACGTCACGGGAGTTTTGTAAATACATAATACGTTAATGACTTTCCATACTGTTTAAAAGAGACAAAAGTTACGATGTTTGCTGATGACACGTCACTACTCAACAGTGGTGACACTTTGGACACAGTTGTGGTTAAGAGTAAAGAAGCACAATCGATGGCAGGAAAGTGGTTTTCTTCTAACCAGCTGGGTCTGAACGCAACAAAAACAGTTGATATGGTGTTTACATTAAAAAACTGTACTAACATTGAAGAAGACTTCAAGAAGTCCACTAATATTTTAGGCATCAATGTAGATGACAAGTTACTATGGGATCATCAAGGTATCGCACTTGCAAAAAAACTAAACAAATTAACGTTTTTATTTAGACAACTAGTCAACAATACATCTCTGTCAACTGTTAGAGTTGCATACTTTGCCCTTGTTCAATCACTTCTTTCTTACAGTATTTTAATCTGGCGTCAATCTTCTTGTCGCCATCGATTGTTCTCACTGCAAAGACGATTAATTAGAATTATCAATGGCTTAAATTACCGTTCTGACTGTAAACCTGCTTTTCGTGCTCTCAAGATATTGACTTTGCCTTCATTATATATACAGGGTGCGCCAGAACTCGCGCCCCAGAGAAAAATGTCAAATGCCGGAGGCAATAGGTCGCCAAAAAGTGGAGCCGAAGAAGTAATTTTTGCTTGCATAAGAAAGTTATTAGACTCTTAAATCCACCAATTCCAGAAGGGCACCTCAAGGTGTGACTGAAAAATTATATCCGTTGCTAGATTACGAAAATAATACCAATTTGGCCAGAATTTTAAAAAATAGCTGGTCTACTGTAATTTTGCGTCTGACATTGATCGTGATGTGGGTGACATAACTTGCTAGTTTCCAGTATTTTTCTCGCTGAAGAGGTTGTACACTAGTATAATGAGACAGAATCGTTAATTATTATCAATTATCAAAAATTATTTTGAAACATTCGGGAAACTCCTGATGAACCGACTTCTCTAAAACTTCTTCACAGGTATTGTTCCTTCTCAACTTTTTCTTCGATCTGATACAGATTAACAAACCGTTAAATGAATTTTAGAGCTTGAAAACTAGTGTATTATCCTTATGAAACAAAGAAGCAAGTGAGAGTGAGAAACCAAAAAAAACATGAAGTAGGTACGCAAGTTTCATTATTTACTTTAATGCAAAATTAACAGGAAAGTGTACTGTTTATAAGAAATTGTGCTTAAATAAAACAGGTTACTGATTTTAATACCAAAATTGTAGTTTTACTCTCGTATTTAGGCATTTTTGCCCAGTAGAAATTCTAACCTCAAAATTTCAACAACAATTTATTGTTGTTTTCTTCCACTCACATGAGCTTACTATAACCCCTTGGCTGTTTTTTCATTAAAAAATCCAGAAGAATGTTGCGATGTTTGTATTTAGTACGAAGCATTTTTGCTAATGTTTTAATTCCGAGGGCATTTCAGCAACGCTTTTCGGTGAATTTGTGGGCTGGTCTTCTGGGGAATCATGTGGTCTGTCAATAATATCAACTAATTTCAACATAACGTGACTCCCTTTCTAAAAAGTAAATTTTTCTGTTAATTTTGCATTAAAGTAAATAAAGAAACTTACGTCCTTCTTCATGTTTTTCTGGTCTCTCACTCTCACTTGCTTCTTTGTTTCATAAGGATAATGCACAAGTTTTTAAGCTCTAAAATTCATATCGGTTTGTTAATCTGTATCAGATCGAAGAAAAAGTTGAGAAGGAACAATACCTGTGAAGAAGTTTTAGAGAAGTCGGTTCATCAGGAGTTTCACGAATGTTTCAAAATAATTTTTGATAATTGTTGATAATAATTAACGATTCTGTCTCATTATACTCGTGTACAACCTCTTCAGCGAGAAAAATACTGGAAACTAGCAAGTTATGTCACCCACATCACGATAAATGTCAAACGCAAAATTACAGTAGACCAGCTATTTTTAAAAATTCTGGCCAAATTGGTATTATTGTCGTAAGCTAGCAACCGATATAATTTTTCAATCACGCCTTGAGGTGCCCTTCTGGGATTGGTAGATTTAAGAGTCGAATAACTTTCTTATGCAAGCAAAAATTACTTCTTCGGCTGCACTTTTTGGCAACCTATTGCCGCCGGCATTTGGCATTTTAGTCTGGGGCGCGAGTTCTGGCGCACCTGTATACCATTGCTTGCTTTATGTGAAACAAAATATTCAAACTTTTCGATACCATTCCGAAAACCATGCCTATAGTACTCGTACTAGTAACAAGCTTGTCACACAATTTAACAGTCTCAAGCGAAACCAAACTGGACCAAGGTATTTTTGTACTAAATTTTATAATATGTTGCCAACTGACTTTTGTAATTTGTCTACATGTCTTTTTAAGAAGAAACTTAAGGAATTTTTAATTGAAAACTGTTTATATAATATTGAGGACTATTTTCAGTGTAATTTTAACCTGTAAGTTTTGTATTTTATGTATTATTTGACCTGTGTATGACACGTTGTCTTAAACATTAATAAATCTATTTCTATTTCTAAACGTGTACTTGTTGCATGGAGAATTTATGAGTTGTAAGCATTGTTATTAAATTAAAAAAGAAAAAATATATTTTTATGTTTTATTATAGTACAATTTCCCGTTTTCGGGGACTTTATCCCTTTTTCCCTTTGACTATCTAAAATTCCCGCAAAACGGGAAATTTTCCTTCAGTTGGCGACACTGTTCTAAAATTGGCCACTAGAGGCGCAAGTGTGCCTTGTCCAGCTAGTAGAGCATATCTAGTTACTTGTGATTCTGCGACAGCGGAGTTGTCGTTGAAAGTGTGGTTATGTCCACAATTGAGAAAGCGTGAACGGTTTTATTGTTGTGCTAATATTTTTACTTTTTGGGATAAAAACATTTCGATCTGTTTTTGACTGTGTTGATGACGAAAAGTTTTGCAGAAGATGGTAACAATTCAGCTGATTCTATAGGTAAGTGATTTACTGTTTCTTGAATATTTGCTGATAAGAGTGATAAGTTTTTAAACTATCTAGTAGTGGCTTTAGGGTTTTGGAAGCCCCGGGGCGCAAATCAGTTATGGGTATGAACGATGGTCAGTTATGATATGAACCAACATTTTAAAAACTGACCTTGATGAAGGTATAATAATAAAAATATTGAAATTACTGTCGACCAAAAATTTGCTGCTCGCGTCTCGTTGTGGCATTTCCCCCACGACTCTCGTTTCGTGCAGCCAGGTTCACACTCGAAAAATTATTCGAATGTTATTAAAATAAAGCACAATATTTTACAAAACATGGAAAAATAAGCATTTTCAATTGCAAATGACTATTGTAAAGTCTATTTTTTTATTTTTTTTTAAATGGAAATGCCAAACAGTCTTAACGTTGGCATCACTAGTAAATTCATTCATGGTAATTTTAATAAAGGAAGTTGGCAGTTCCGGTTTTTTGAATTAATTTGAAAACACTGTCATTAAATGTCAACACAAAAAATCGTTAAGAAAATTTAGAGACGAAACACCTAAAAAGAAACAAATTCGGTACACTAACAGTTTTTCGAAATTTGAAAACGAATAGTTCGCAAGCAGGAAGTTAGAAAAAGGGCCCGTTAAAATGTAGACGCAATTTGTAATGCAGGTTTGCTAATAATTCTTAATTTTTAGCAAGAAATCGACAAGAATACAAAATAAACATGAATGAGAAAGAACCTCGGAAAGAACGCAATTAAATTAGTATCTTGTGCATCGCTTTTTGAGGAACGAGTTGAAAAAGTAACCATTTTGAAACTAAAGCTGAAGAAGAATTTATAAAATGCATCGACTTTGAACTCGTTTCAATAAATTACACAAAATTTATTGCCAATCATCATAATACCTACTTTTATCTTTTGCTAAATAACTTTTTTCTGTATATACATCCTTTTTCTTCAAAGTTTTTGTAGCAAGAATCCCATTTTTGTCCACAACATTGTACTTACTTGTTGTGTGTTTCTGTCAAAATTATTAGCACTGAATTCTGTCTTTAGACCTTAGGTAATGATGTCTGTCCTCAGGTATTCAATTATAGCGCTTTCAAAGAGCAAACAGGCACACAAGATTCATAAAAGTCAAAATTTTGACAAGATTTCAATTTGAACACAACCATAATTTTTTAACAAAATTTCTAGGGACAAAAACAAAAAGCAAACAAAATTTGTGGCTATGGAGACAAGCTGCTACCAATTTTTTCACCAAAATTTTGACTTGATAATTTCCATTAAAAAAAAAACAGACTTTAGATAGTGTTTTGACGTTTTCAATGTAATTCTGTCATGAATAACAATTTCAATGAATTGTATTGTTGCAACTGTGCGATTCAAGGTCAAATGTATTTCACTTATGCATTGTTAACTTTCTTTTATTCAAGTGTCATCCCGTGTATCGATTTTTTCATTTTTGCAGAAAATGAAGCTTATTAAAAGGGCATTTGACTGTATGAAAAAATGGTGGGGTTACAATGGCTTTTTATGAATAATGTTAAGTCAATGCTTCTACTTGTAATAGTAAAAGATAGTCGTAATTTATTAGATTTTATATGAGAAAGAATGACACAAAACTATCGTTAAAGCTTTTGCTACATTTTATTCATTTACATTTTATTTTTTTTTTATTTTTTACCTAGGTATTATTTTGTATAGGTGTATAATATAAAAGGTGTCTATTACAAAATACAAAAAAAGGGAAATCTTACTGTGATATGATTTAAGTTATATATTTAGTAAAGTAGTATGTAATTTTATTTTTGTTATAATTGTTTAAATGTATTCGTACTTATATGGGGTAAACAATGGGTATTAAAGCGAAGGAATTTTGGAAAAATATTTATTATAATAATATCTACGTATAGGTATAATACAAAGTTCATTATTTTTTGGAGTCGCATACGTTATATTTACTGTCCCATAATAGTGATGGTCTCCGGCGCCGTGGTTCCTATTGTAGAAATCTTGTTGCCTGTAACAAAAAAATTGTTGTATGATTTATTTTATTCAAGTTAAAAGACAATAGTGATGTACAAACCTTTCTGTTCACGACTTGTTGCTATTGTCCGAATTATTGCTCTTGTTGTACCACTTCCATCCGCCGCGGCCTCTCCCGCGGCCTTTTGTTTCTCTGTTTCGTTCCTATAATAAGATACTTATTTTAAATCTCTAAAATAATAGCAACACTTTCATCTTGGTGCATATTTACTTACGCGCTCTGACTCCAGCTCATCTCAGAGCTTTTCTAATTCTTCCACCAAAATAGCCACCTCGGGAGCCCTCGCAGCGGCTCCTGAAGCATCGTCGAATTCCACTTCGACATCGCTGATGGGCGAATCAATGCGTAGATTTTTTAGATAGTTTTAGAAAAAAATTAAGTACAAAATAAACATAAAAGTTTCAAATGTTTATTTCTTTTAAAACATAAAAACTATATAGATCAAATTTATTTTCCGAGATTTTTAATTTGAAAGAGATAAATCTAGAAATTATGTTTTTCTTTAAGGGAGGTACATCTTCTTGCACATATGTTAAAAACATACAGGGTATGCCAGAACTCGCGCCCTAGAGAAAGATGTCAAATGCCGGCGGCAATAGATCGCCAAAAAGTGCAGCTGAAGAAGTAATTTTTACTTGCATAAG